TCTACAATTTAATTTTATGTACATATTAGGTATAATTTGTAAAAACTGAACAATAAGCATAAAATGAAATTTAAAAAAAAGAAAACCTTTATTTTAGTTATGGGATCCTTCTTGTTAAGCTTCTTAACACACATGGAGAACTCCTGATTGAGTCCCTGATCCAAGGATACAGTAGCTAACGTCGGGAACAGTGGGGGCATGCTCTTGCCTCCAACCATATGAGCAGGTGCAGGATCGAACTTCCCTGGATTATTCAAAAGTCCCGCACTGCGACCACTGCTTGAAGGCTGTGAATATTTTAAATTAGTACTTAATTATGTAAACATGTTTCATAAACTTATGTAGGCATAATTTAAATTTATGAACATGTATCAAAAATTTGTAAAGTACCTTTGGGGCTATTCAAGTATTATGAAAGAACTATGGGGTGGCAGGGGCATTTGCTTTGCTTTGCTTATTCTGGATGACATGGGGGTGGGGGAGCCTAGATTAGATGATGATTACGTCATCAGCAGTTATTTACTTTTTTACATGAATGGCAACCCTCACATTGTCTTTGCTAAAAGACAATACATTAATTGAAAAATGTTTAAGTGAGAAGGGGGGGAGGGGGTCAGAGCTTTGCTTACTTTTACTGACAAGGGGTGTGGGGGGTAAATAATTGTAATAAATCTGCTTACATAATACTTGAACAGGTAATTTTTTTATTGGGGGATTTGATTTTGTGACACCTGTATAGATCTATTGTGCTCACCCTTATACTTGTAAAGTACCACAATATTACATTTTTTAATATTTATTGATACTTTAATACACAAATAAAGGTACATATGAGACAGACAAGACCTATAGCCATACTTATATCAAAATATAGCTCACAATTCTTTAAAGAACCAATTACACCAAAACTTACTCTGTATTTATGATTTTTTTTTCTATCACAGAGGACAAACGAGCATGCGGCTCACCTGATGGTAAGTGATTACCGCCGCCCATGAGCACCCGCAACACCAGGGGAATTGCAAGTATGTTGTCTGCCTTTTAAAAAGGAATAAGCTCTTTTCTTGAAGGTTTCAATATCATATTGGTTCAGAAATACCACTGCTGGAAGTTGATTCCACAATGTGGTTGTGCGAGGTAAAAAGTTTCTAGAAAACCGCACTGTGAAAGACTGCCATTCATCCAGATGATCAGGATGGTATTTCAGTTTCTGGGTGGTACGGTGGTGAAACTCAGCAGCTGGTATTAATCCGACCAATTCCTCAGAACACACCCCGTGATATATGCGTAGAAATTGCACAGAGATGCAATATCTTGCTGCAAAGTCAATGGGTCGAGTCTGTCACAGAGACGTTGATTACCATACAGGTAGTTAATATACAAATAAAACTATATAGGTAAGGGGTATGCAGGTTTTATTTGTATATATATATACTACCTGTATGGTAAATCAGAGTAGGATGAGATATTACACCTCTACTATTTTTATATCTCGGATTATAAATAATATTGTACTTCTCATAAAAAATGGTGGGAATGTAAAAGTGTCATAACTATTTGTAATTTTAAAATATGTTGACTTAAATAGCTAATACAAACTGCAATATTAATTAATAAAATAATGCTTATATTGCAAATTATTGCGTAATTATTAAGATTTTCAATACAGTGTTTACACAATGGTTTGGAGTAGTATTTTGGAGTTTTGAGATTTGGATTTTAGGGCAAATTGATTCCAATACGGAACAAACTACCAAAAAATACTATTTATTTAGGGTAAATCGTTATTAACTATTACGTGGAATATATTGTGATAATAAAAAATGTTTACGTGCTTACCCTGACATTATTTTTAGTTCTTTGGCTTTGTTTTGCCTTGCCACCCATTTTGCTTTAGGTACTCGTAAAATATACGTCGAATTTAAATTTAGTCTTATAATATTAACATCATTTACGAATAAAAAGACAAGACAGCATTTCTTGTAGTAATATGGTTTGTTTTGACAGCGCATATGACGTACATGAGAAATGTCAGCAAGTAAAACTAATGTAATATTTTCTTGTTCTATGTAACCTTTAAATGGCAGGCAAAGAGAACTGCACTCATACAGCCATTGTTTGTTACAGTGACATTGACAGCGTTTTTTTTTAAACAAACGCCTGAGAATTTTGTGGCATTTATTTTATTTGTTTCTTTTGTTTCCATTCTTATAGCTATTTTCACAGGTCTTAGGCTAATACAAATAATAATAATAATAATAATAAAATTACCACATTGCTAATGATGTACCAAGGTCAACCTTCACGTGGTACCTTCTGAAATTTATCGTTGATAAGGCTGTATGAACATTTTCTATAATAACTAATTAAACTCGATGAAACGCTGTCGATGCAATAAGGAGTAGTTAGATTTGACAAACGATCTACTTTTAGTTAATTTGTATGAACAATCAAAGATGTACAATCTTAATTTTTTAAAAATGTGTAAGGCATTAATATTTCAGAATTACAAATAAAATATCTTTGTATTTATTGTGATAACAGAGTAATTCGTATAAAGCGAACCATAAACCTTTATAGCAAATTTTCGATTGAAAGTATTGCTAACGCGCATGGTTAAGGAAAGACGCAATGTCTAAATATAGAATTATAAATAGAACGAATACTGTAGATTATCTACATAGTAATTTTATTGCGTAGACATACTCTTAATTACTGGAGAATTCGCCACAGTGGGCTAATTGGCCAGATTTTTTGCGTATCCTTTCATCCTCCACTGATGTCCCGCCAGCAAATGCCGTTGGCGCAGGCACCATCATCCACACAAAAAGCTACCTATTCGACAGTCTAAGAATAGAATCGCGTGCTGTTACAACGTAACTTTGTCACAAGTCAATTTATTGTACCCAATATAATTTAACGTATGTGGCGGATTGCTCAATTTAGTTTGCTGTTCTCTTATTCCTTTCTATCACGCCAGTATGTCGAGGTATAAATAAAATAGACGAATGCATTGAAATGTCAATATATATTTTTAATATTCATAAATTCAATATACATTATAATAATATCAAGTAAAATGAATTACTATAATTTATATAGGCAATATTTTAACACATGTTAATCTATGGGTAAGTTTAACAATCTAGAGTACTTATTTTAACAAATGTTCGTGAACCTCGCGTCAGGATGTGAGCGCCGCGCCACTCGCCCACGATTCTGTGCTGTCACCTACTGACACCTGAGGCAACAGGCACAGAGTAGGTACAGCAACGGCGTGGCACAGAGTCGTGGACGAGCCCGCGTTTTTTAACGTTCATTACACAGTATATACGCTCACTTCACTAAATACAACAAACACATTATGGCAATAGGAATTCACATTGGCTTACATCTACCGCTAAAACTATAAATAGTTATATAATATAAACGATACAAAAGGAAGAAATACTTTTCTGCAATATGCGTATTGCACAAGTAACTAAACATTGCCATAGTACATAATGCCATTTTATGTAAAAAATAAAATTTCACTTTGTTATAAAATTCTTTGAAGCCTTAAATATAATTTTGGCACATAATTACAACTAAACTAACTAATGTTAGTGATGGGATATTTATATATTACAGGGTTCCGCATCACGCAATAATGTAAGTAATCTTTGGTTTATCTAGCCCACCGATGACAATTTGGAAGTCACTTATATTAAAATAATAATATTAAAATATGTAACAGTTCGAACAGGTTGATTAATACGATATTAATTTATTAGTAGGTGCAGTTGTGTGGCAATCACTTGTGGTCTTATTCTTAGCCATTTGGGCCCAAACAATACTGTTAGAAGTGTTATGACCTATGACCTATATACATTGTGGTGTAAGTTAAAGATAGCGTGGATGTATACCTAAAAGGTATGACTACACCACCATGACTTTGTACTGTTGACTGACCCGCACTTGAATACTGTATGCCTGCCTTTACAGATGAAACTATGGTATACTAATGAAAATCACGTAGTTACACACTGTTCTCAATAAGTTAGGTAATTCGTTGATTAGAAACCTTTAAAAATTAATTTTATCTACTTACAATTACAAAATATAGAAATAATTATATATCTCTTAATGTATTTTCACTTAGGAACTTTCTGTTCTATCATATATACTGTAGTAAATGTGTTAATGAAGTTAGGTGTGCGGGCGACCACCCACAACGAGGCATGCAGGTACCTATATGATGATGAGCGGCGACTGTTGCTTTACATATATAATCTAAGCTGTTATTCTATTAAACTGACAAATACAAATTAAGTACTTATTAAATATGTAACACGGAATAGGTACCTGAACGATATAAACTGCATTTCTTAAAGGCGAATTGAATTACCTATTAATAAGTTTGCACATTAGTAATGACAAATCACAAGGATATAAATACAAACAACGCTCATGGAACTTTAGGACTACACATATAGGTTTATGTTACATATATTGTAAAACATCTTATTGTTACCGTGTTCATTAAACAGATGCACATTATTGTCACATATTCGTCGTGTAACGCGTTCATACACTATGCATTGTTACATTACAATTAACGTATGTAATCATATTTACATATAATAGCGTACACTATTTACATTTACTCTATATACAACTTACACTAATCTTTGGACTAACCGCAAAAGTTTTAAACATATGAGAGATCCCATAGGAGTAATATGGAATGCTTTTACCTTAAGTATTATTGTAACTATCTAAACACTTATCATTACAATACGACAAGCTTGCGCAGGCCCGTCCACCAGGCCCGCTTTATTATTATCCAATTTTGAATGTCTCAACAACATACGATAAAATTTAAAGAAATCTAAAAAGTTGGAACTACACGTACTGTCGCGCCTTCCATCAACGTCCTAATTTGAATAAGCAATACTTTAATTATGGAAACAGCTGACGACTAGGAACGTTTATGGCATAGCGTCGACATTTATATATATATATATATATATAGAAGATATCTATTTATATTTTAAGACAAAAATACTGATGCTGTTTTAGAAATAAAGCTCAGAGCCGGGAAGCACTTGGTGTGTCAGAATATGTAGTGGATGATGTTTGTGCTAAACAAGTAGAATGCACACCAATATAATTCAATGGGTACATGTAGTTACTAAATGTTATACAGCGACGATAATTAGTGATGGTTTCAATAATATATAAATTTGTAATGATATAAAACGCGTAGGTATACGAAGAATTGTTTATGGAACCAATGTCAAAGACGCAGTAAAGAATTGCGATGCGCAGAGAGAAAATAGCATGATTGACGTAGAAACAACGGATGCCCATCACTATATCACTTCATTGCATACATTGTAAGTAAGTACACTACAACCCAACATGATTACAAAGACAGTTGCAATTGCAATACATATTAATAAATTTATAAAATAAAAAAATAAACTTTAATTTATCAATGGCGCCGTTTTCATATCTTAATTACATGGACACTATACAAAAATATTCGTAACATCTATTTTTGAAGAGTATTATACTACAGGTACCGGCCTTTGGGATTCCATTACACGAAACTTAATTAAATTTAAATATTATAATAAAATAATAGCATTGGCACTTGTTTTTGGTATCATTTGGCACTATACAATATCATAAATAGGGAATCAAAATTGTTTTCTTACATATAATAAATGGCATTGAGCAATGGCCTTAATTAACTTGGAAACGAAAATACCGGGCGACGAATACTTTGTTATTATGAGTATTATTATGCAGCAGCTCGTATTTGTTCGTTCATTAACAACACTCTATGAGGTAAAGTTGTTATCAACGTGAGTAGAGTCGGATGGAATCGAATCACCTCATTCATTACAGTTGTAGGTATTCACTACTCTGTTGATAACGTGAAATTTATCACACGAAACAGGCATTGCATGCGTGGTTTCGATAGAACTTGGTTCCAATGTTTCGTGATAATACACTTGAGGGCCCCGGCGCTGTCTAGTCTCTGTAAGGCTTGCATATAGCGAACCTGTGGTTCATGTGCTGACTGTACGAGCCGGAGTGGGAGAACTTCTTGAAGCACTTGCAGCACTGGAATGGCTTCTCGCCGGTGTGTAGACGCTTGTGCTCTGTCAAATGATGTTTATGCTTGAATGCCTTCGGACACTCCAAGCATTTGTACGGACGTTGTCCTGTTGATGAAAAATTACGAAATTTAATATATTAATACTACAAACAAAATTTTCTGAACCATCGTCATTTTTTAGGAACCTTTAGGTAAATTGTCTAGCTAAAGCTAATATTTAAAATATGATGGTATTGGTCTCGTAAGTAACGAAATAAATTATAAGTAAGCTCTCATAAGCAGAGTCATGCAGAGATTATGAGATTAAATATTCCAAATTAATTTAGTAACAATTTTCTGCCGAATATGATGACATTGTTTTTAATTAAAAATTACCAAAATTAAATAAACTATTGGTGTCAAAGAATAAACATTCCTACATTTATTGTAAATAGATGATAGGTTAAATTTAAAGATATATACCTGAATGTTCATATTTGTGTCGTGCGAGAGAACTTTGTTTCACAAAAGTCTTGTCGCACTGGTCGCAGACGAACTGTCCTTCGCCCTCTTTGTACTCGGCACCCTGCTTCAATTTACTTTTCTTAAGTACGGTCGCATCGTCTTCGAAGTCGTTTGCCGGATGAGACTCATCTGCCCAGGATGGACGTTCGTACGACGGACTCGATGCTCGGCTGATGTCCGTTGGCATCTGCATGTTGAGCAGAGATGATCGACCATTTGCCATATCATTATATTGAATAAATTTGTCCATAGGCATCATTGGCGTAACAGCTAGATTACGTAATAATAACCTTTCTCTTTTTTGAGCATTCATTGTTTCTCCTGGTGAAGGAGACAGCCTAAAGTCAGTGAGAGAAGAAGACGAGCAATTGGAATGTGGATAAGTGTTCAAATAGTTAGGACGGTGTGGCGTCGTACTTCGCGATGATTTCTGACTGAGGTTCACCGCTTCCTCCGTATCGGAATGTGTAACAGAAATGCTACAAGGCGGCGACGGTGACGGACTCGACGTCACCGACGGACTCGACTTTTTAGTAGACAAGTCGAGTGGCTGATCAGACATGGCTAAAGTCTGTGTCATTCGCCGCACTCTGGCCCTATTGTTCTGAAACCAAACTTGTACTACTCGGTTATCGAGTCCAATTTGCTGAGCGATCTTCTTAAACTCTTCCCTGTTAGGTCTTGGATTTACTGCGTAGTGCTCTTTTAAGACTGCCTGTTGCTCTTCACTTAATGCAGTTCGGACTCTTATTTTTCTATCATTATCATGTATAGAAATTTTGTCATCGCGATCTTCTCTTAGAAAATCTTCGTCTTCACTTGCACTCACTCCGCTTTGTATAGAGGCACGAGCTTCTGCTTCTAATCTGTTCAATGCTACCGTTTCGGCAACTTGAGCTGCCAAACCCTATCATGTTTTCTAAACAAACCTCCACAAACCATTTTCTCGTGATCTAATAAATCACTTTTATTACAGAAGACTTCATTGCATTTCCTACACCTACGATTATCTTCAGGCTCTTCCTTAATAATTATGTGTGGAGTTGGTGGTGATTCTATACTGGGGCATACATTTGCAGAAACAGGAGAAAGCTTTTCCATATTTGCCCTAAAGAAATGTTTTGTAACGGATGCATTAACAGAGTCTAATATTGTGTTATAGCCAGAATTATTGTTATTAACTTGATGGCCATTGTTATTTAATGGGACGGAATCGAAATTTCGAGAGGGTGATCTCAATTCACTATCTCGATCTTCTTGCTCCTTCTTTATGGATAAGGCTTCATCGTCTTCTATGTCCATGACGAGCTCTGCGCTCCCTTCGGAGCGTTTATCGTCTTCTTCAGTGACCTCTTCGATCATATATTCAGGGTCGACAGGTGTACCCACATGCTTTGGGCTAACTGGGCTCTCTATCTTTCTTTGATGATATTGAGATGACGCCAATTGCTCGAAAAGTTGACTAAGAGAAGTGGGAAAACTGTAAGGTGTAATTCCACTCGCAGGACTCATTGGCATCCCGGGTGGCATGTAGAAAGGATTCATTCCCGGTTGCCCCAGGGGCGCCCGATGGAAGTTATTCTCTTGAGACGACATGGAGGCAAAGAAGGCAGCAGCGGCCTCGTTGTATTTGGGCAGAATAGGTAAGAACGAGTTTCCGTTCGGCGCTATATTGTTGTTGAGTTGAGACGCAACCATTGCATTGGCGCGCTTTCTCGAAGGACTCCGTTCAGGGTTGAGGGCCGGATTGTTCGGCTTGATTCGCCCCATTTTGAGATTCATTACGAGACATTTCTTAGAGGTCATGTGGCTCGAGTAGGAGCCGGAGTGGGAGAATTTCTTGCCGCAGTTGGCGCACTCGAAAGGTTTCTCGCCGCTGTGTATTCGCAGGTGTTCCTTCAGGTGATGTTTGAACTTGAACGCCTTGTCGCAATCGTTGCATTTGAATTTACGCAGAGTCGCGCTCTCGTCGTGACTGATCATGTGCCGTTGTAGTCGGTACACGTTTGCGAAGCTCTTGTGACAGATCTTGCACGACTGTTGACAAAACGAAACACTAATTATTGATCGGAAAGTTCTCATGTAAATCATATATCTATTAAATTTTATTTGAATGAGTTGAATTATGACTTTCTATTTAATATTAGTGTTACATCTAGATTACTTTAACTGGTTCGTGTGTTATTTACTTTTAAGGTCACGTTCGATTGACCTTTCGAAGTTGCGAAGTGAATTGGACATAAATCGAGAGGGACAGTTTGAAGTCCAATCATGAACAATAAACAGAAATGTGACCTAGTCGTAAACTGTAAAAGATATGGCTATGTATAATGTTTATCTCTAGGTCACACGAAAATGATACAAAGCTGTTCGTACTCATAGTTGATGTGTTTGGTATCAAATATCATTAGGTATACAGATAACCGCATGTTATTATTACAATGTGCACTGACATATTTGAGTGTATCCACCTGTGTGTTGGGCGAGTGGAGGGTCTCGTGTCGCTCGAGTTGGTCGCGCGTGGGGTACGCGCCGCGGCACTGGCTGCACGTGAAAGGCCCGCCGGGGCCCAGGGGCGACCCTCCTCGCTCCTCCTCCTCTTCGGACGGCTTGCCCTCCGACCCGCCGCCGGCCAGCGGACGGACTGTAACAATAAAATTACTTTTATATAGATAATCATCATAATCAGTGGAAGAACAACTTCAGAAACGTCTGATTGTCATCTGTGGTACAGTTATGGCGCGCTTTTTCTTAACAACTTTTGGTTTTTCGTGATGGCGCAGGAAAATATAATAAGTCGTCTTGATTTTGAACAATAGATTGGTTAATAAATTGAATTGTTAAGTATTGGCTCTTACTCATGAAGCCAATTTAAATTACGAATAATTTTATTTCATTTTAATTTAAGAACAATATTCTAAACGTTTTAATAGAGATGTGAGGTGTTTTTAAAACGTTAACTTTTTTCTAATTAAATTATGTGTAGAGTACTATTACTGCGTATCCTTTGTAGGTACGAGTATATCTCCAGAGGCCAGAGAATGTAAAACTAATATTAATGACCGATTTAAAACGATCACAAAAAAAACACAATATGTTCCTAAACAATATATTGAATACTGTATACCTAATGTCGTTAGCAGCGCACATAGGTATGGTTGGTTAGTAAATTATACTGATTTAGCTAAAATCTTACGTGAGTTAACTCGATTATGTAATATTCCTCTAATTTTAGTCCTTGTGTGTTCCATTTTACGCACACCTAATTAATACCACAGCTTATATTTCAAACTATTCGATTTGCTTGTAGCTGCGAAACGGAACAGTTGTTTTTGGTTTTTAATAGAACAGCAATAAATTTAAATATTCGTAATTCGAACTGTTCAGAAATGCTCGTAGCGCGTATTGTTAAATTCGACAATTGGATAAGTATTTAATTCCGGAGCCAAAAGAAAAAAAGTATTTAATTCATCGAAGGTGATTAAACAGATCGTGAATACCTTTCGGACGCGTTCGATTTTCAAAAACAAACTCGGCGGCAACAATTCAAAAATCGAATCATGTTATTTCGGTATACGGTTCGTTTTCCCGCGTAATAATGTTTTAAAGCCCGTGGCGGGAGGCCGCTGTAAATCAAATATAATAAAGAGCAAAACAACGGTGTGCGACGTATTAATTAGTGCGTTCGCGGACAGCACGCGGCGTCCGGCGCGTGCTCCGACGTTATCTACGCCGGACACAGCCGGACGAGGCCGGACACCGGTATTGGTTTTTAGAAAATACGAACCCGTAATCGCCTTCGCACTCTCTGTGTACTAATAATTAATCTGTATTGAGCCATTTGTACCTTCTGTTACCTATGTAGATATATCTACCTATATGTACAATATAAACTGTATGGTATATATAGGTAGGTATGTCTGTTTTAATTAAATAATAGATTTATTTGTACGTCGGCACATACCTATTTATAAGATGTTGCGTTCCTACATAAAGTAGATGGAATATCTGAAGTGCCTAATTAAACGAGTAGTCTATAATAATAAGATCTCAGAACAATTCACACAGCGCTATCTAGTCTCAAGATATGCAGAGCTTGTGTTATGGGTACTAGACAACTGATATAAATTCTTAGATATTTGTTTTTGAAATTACATACATAATATACATAGAAAACATCCAGACCGATGCAGATAAGCCTTCTCAAATACAAATGTTTGAACCGTGCGAGAGTCGAACCCGCGACCATTAAAAATGAAGCAGTGTGCTAAACTGCTAGGTCACTAGGGCTGTCACGAAAAGATGTTACCTACATACGTATCAAAACAAAACTAGATACCGTTGAAGATTCCACCTTATATTTTCAAGTAGGTACCTAAACGTTATTGCAACAGTAATAATTGAATTTAGCTCCTCTCCTCTGATTACCGAATTCGTGATAACAGTCGTGAGGATATTTATAAATAATTAATTATAAAACACTTTTATTTTTTGTAATTTACTATAAAAAAAAATTTAATATTAACAAATAAAATTTCCACATTTAAGTTGAACGCTACTCGCCAATAGATGGCGCTACGTGTCGATATTAAATAGAGTAAGTAGCGCGTTTGTTAAAAATGAACGTAAGGTTAATTTTTAATTTCAATATAATTGTATAAGTAGGTATTATTATTATTAATAATTTTGTAATCAATAATTAGAATGACTATATTTACACATCTACGAGTAGGTACTGCAGGCAGGGGCGGATCTACTTAAGGGCTTTTTGGGCTGTAGCCCAGGGCCCCGAGGATACAAAGGGCCCCCAGTTCCCACTGAAACGATATACAGAATATAAAAAATATCTAGAATGTTAAAAAACCTATCATAAGGTTGGTAACCCTGAGATCAATCCATGCAAGTGCGCGTTTATCAAACGGAACGGGGAATTTCAGGTCGGTGTATTTTTTATTTGAATAGTATAATTAGGTAGGTCCTTAAGTAGATTTAGCCTAGGGCCCCACAAATCCACGATCCGCCTCTGACTGCAGGAAAAGAAAGAATAGAAAATCATTTATTCAAATAAACTTAATTTAAGCACTTTTGAATAGTCATACGTGTATAGGTAGTACATACCTACACACTATTTCTAAACAATTAGATATTGTTAACGCTGTTGCATATTTATATGCTCTTTTATACATAATATCTCATTAGCTTATAAATATTTTAGATTTAAACAACTTTGTATTTCAAATTCTGATGTCTGTCACAATATTTATTAGACACTAAATCGTACCGTAATACCTATTTAGAAACAAACAAATTCATAAAAGAATTTATGTTAATAAAGAAGGTACAAATATAAATTTGAAATTTTTGTGCATGTAGCACTTGTCGGGAAATGAAATCTTCAGTATTTAAATTGGAGGTATCTATATGTATTAGGTATCTAAATTTAATACTTTTAATATTTAATTATATTATTAAATTTTCAATATTTTTAATTCAATTAATCATTTTATTCACAAAAAACAATTCCTTAAACCTTTTTAAACTTTGAACTACATCGGTTGATTTTTAGTGACGCTACTCGCCGCTAGATGGCGCTAGTAGTAGCGACTAACTGCGGGCTCACAATTTAATAAGGACTTACAATTTTACTGTTTTACAATTTTATACATTTTTACAGTGAATATAAACGAATTTATTTGTATTTTTATACTATTAACATATATTAAGATCTTTTAAGTATATCTAATTAAATATAACTTCATATTTTTGTTTATTTTATTTATACCAATTAGAAAACAGTTAGATCGATGTTTCTATCTGTAATGATTTCTTAGGTATATGATCCATTTTGGACCTACTTAACTACTTAATAAAAGTTAATTTTCTTTGGACCGCACTACGGTATAATTTTTCATACCTATAAGAATACGGAGATTATAAAAACAGCTTAAATATATCAACATTCAAATTCATATTTATACATATATACAATCTCATTTTTTAACTATTTAGAAAAAGTTTTAGAAAATCCTCCATTCGGTATAATGACAAGAGAAGTAAATATGTCACAATATAGGTAGTTTCGTTTATGATATTGTGTTCATGTGACACTAGGTGGAGTATAGCGGACGTTAAGTAGGTAGGCTCCTACACACGGTAATAGATGTGGTTGAATAATCTGTGGCTGAAAAATCTGTGCTCCGTTTCCCCCGGCCAGAGCGTCCATTGATAAAAATCTCACGCAGGGGAAAGGGAATTCTTAGAAATGTGAACTATTCATCATATTGCTAGCAATGTACCATGTCAGGTTGACGTCCACGCGGTTCCCCCTGGAAACCATCGTGATACATTCCCCGTGAATTTGTCACGTTGGGCTAACTGTCCTGACATCGTGTTTTTATCGTCCTCCACTGGTGCCCCGCCAGCGTAAACCGTTAGCGCAGGCGGATGCACCATTTCATTGTATCAAATCGCAGCTGAAGTCAATATATTAATAGGAAAATTTAATGTTAGTGAAATATGTATATAGGAAAAAAAATTCAACCATAAAATATATATCTGTGCTCGACCACTCCACGGGCCAGAGCGTCCGTTGCCGCTGATAAAAACCTCACGCACACCATCCAACGCTCTTGCTATTGCGTTGTTGTATTCAGAATATATTGGTAACAGTGTGGCCAACACAATTTGTGAAAATCCACACGCATTAGTAGAAAAATACAAAAAAAAATCACCACATCCTTAATCCTTCATTACATAGTATAAAACAAGGTCGCTGTCGCTGTCTGTCCGTCCCTATGTATGCTTAAATCTTTAAAACTACGCAACGGATTATGAAGCGGTTTTGTGATTCAAGAGGAAGGTTTATACATGTACGGATATACATGTATTATATATACCTATATATAATACATGTACACCCGTGCAAAGCCGGGGATAGTAGCTAGCAATTTTATAAATGTGAAAGTATGGATGTTTGTTACGCTTTCATGCAAAAACTACTGAATCAATTATAATGAAATTGGTACACATGTTCTTGGTATTAGAATAAAGATAGGATACTTTTTATTAAATATTTTTGAGTCAATGCGAGCGAAGCCGCGGGTAAAAGCTAGTATGTTCATATTTATATCGCTATTAGGTCAGAAGTTTAGTTATTATTTAGTACAGCACCCTTAATAATAAATAATAAACATTGCTGCTTTACGTACGAAATGTATTGGTCACGAAACGATAAAGAAAGTTACAACCGATTTTACGTTTAATTTGCCCACAAAAGGCATAAATGCACCAATTATAGTGGAAACTATAAAGTGGCAACACTGATTATTATCACACATGCATAGACACTAAGATAAGAGTTGGATCCTCGCACACAAACGCGCGTGACAGGCCACACCTGTTCGGGTGTTGTGCCGCGCCGGCCTCTCGACCCGAGGAGGCAGGTTCTTCTTGAATAGAAACAACTCCACCTACCGCAAGATGTTCAGCAGATACCGTTCAAATTGCAATTGCTCGATGAGAGATTTATTCGACTGTTTTAAAAACTGTTTAGTTGTATTGATTTTTGCAGTGATTAATTTTATTACATTTAGTTACATATCTTTGTATATAAAAATTACGTGTCACGTTGTTTGTCCGCGATGG